TTTTTGTGGGTGAGAGGTGTGGTTAGAGGTAGTCCGGGAAGATGGCGGGCACTTCAATGGCCTGAGATCACCGGAGGTGGAGAGGAGGAGGTCAAGGCAAGCTTGGAGAGGGAGAGGTTGGCAGTGATAGACCTTTGAACACTAATGTAAAGTATGATAGGGTGTTTAAGCATGAGACTTGGTTGTATTGTTGTTGTTGTGTCTCGCTGCATATACGATACGTTATATAGGCCATAGGAGTATTGGAGCCTAAGCAAACTGTTGGACAGGTGGCTCGTTCTCCTCAACTCTGCCAGAAGTGATAGAAGCCCTTCTGTCGTCTGTGGTTTGACGGCAGGCAGAGAGCAATGTTTCATGGCAGGCAGAAAGTAACGTTTCGTATATACATCGGATGACATGAACGTAAGGTCATTATTGCCTCTTCTCCAAGCCTGGTCGAGATGGAGTTGTCTTAGCAAGAAGACAAACATCTCAACGATCCCATGACCTCAGCCGCCAGTCCAGTATCCTCTGATGATCCCGAGCAGTAATGCCTGGGTCCTGCTCCCAACCTAGGCATCCAAGTAGATAAATGGGCCAGGGCCCACCTTAGTGTTTAAGAGAGCCAGGGGCTTGCCTCTAGGCGACCAAGTAGGAGGTTGGGCCGCAGGCCTATCTCAATGTTTAGCAGAGCCATTGTTTATCAATCCAAGTCCAAGTGAGCCGAGAGCTGATTGTATTGTTGTTTGGCCTTGGAGCGAGGTATGAAGGACCATGGGCCCTGGGGCCCTGGTGCTGCCTGTTGCAGGGCTCTTCATATCTAGATATATTTGGGCTTATATGTATGCTCCCGCTTAGGCTAAGCATATAGTCTTGGCTGCCTTGGCATACGACGCCCGTAGGGCTCGCCATGTAGCAAACATACGACATGCCCGACGTGGTGCCTTATTGGTCTACCACGTGGGTGGGGTTTTGGTGATGTGGCACCTGTAGGACTTACCACATATCGAGCTTGATACAAGTACCCACAACTATCAAGTGAATGACGGTTAATCAAAGATACTAAGAAAAATAATGAAGAACTAGTACGAAAATTTCATCAGTACAACCTGCTTATTTCTTCAGATTTCATTTCAACGTATTTTTGTACACTTTTACAGCCTTCTACCTATTACACGAAACTCATTCGATAAGAAGTAAAGCTGACCCCACATGCTGGATACACAAAAAGAATCAAATCCTTGAGAATCTCCAGAGTTATTTCAAAAAAAGAACCCTAAAGTTTTTTTTTTTTGATAATTAAAAATTGTTGCTACAAGGAGTTGAACTCAAGACCCTAAACTCTAAAAAGCATGAATTTTAACCCTAAACTTAATTCCAGCACAATAAGAACTCAGTAGATTGAATACTACATTCAGTTCCTTAATCCAGGGTGTTCCATACCCAAAGTAGCTCCTATCCTTAAGTTTGATAAAAACCCATAGTCAATGATAATATATTTCATAGTTTGTTTCTGTTTTACCAAAACTTTCTTCACTATACTAAAATTCCAAGTTTTGGCAGTCCATGTTATGTGCTCCAAATAAAGAGAGAATCAGAGAGAGAGCGAGAGAGCGAGAGAGAGAGTTACAGGCAGGGTAACAACTGTCTCAGGCAGGTTATAGATAAGCACAGAACTCAATACTGTTGCCAGAGCGAAAATGCTGCAAGGCAGCCATCAGAAAGGAGAACCAACAAATACCTACAGCCATCAGAGGCAGATTAAATACCAACTAGTTAGATCACTGGTCATCATATATTTGACTTCCCAATACTTTCAAATCCCTCAGTATCAAGGTATAAAACAGAATTTTTTACTCCATCAATATCCAATTCTAGCAGGGTTCCCCGTTCTCATATCCCTGTAAAAAATAACAAAATACCTGTAAGTAATATCTGTAAATGGATGGTTGCTTAAATCCACCTCATTACGGTCTGCATCTAGCTTTTTTTTTTGTGTCACGCATGTGCCCAACACCAAATCCTGCTAAGACATCAAACTACAAAGCTTAATAATTGTTAGAAAAATCAACTTATGCAAAGATGTTGGTGGCAATAACTAAACCAATGGTAGCACAGGCTGCACCTTCATAACAAGAAAGGGAGAGAAGTTGATCAAGCAGAAATGATTTTAAACAAAGGTAAGGACCAATCACCTAATAAAACAGCCATAAAAATGGAGTTAAAAGAAAATAAGAGCAGGACTGGAAAAATTAAAATTTTATAAGGTAAAAAAGGTTGTTTCACTGAGGGCTTGACATGCACAAATAATTATAGAGATGAATAATTGCAAGACATGCCCAACGAATCAATGACATTCAATACTCCAATACACAAGAACAAGATAGTATAAAACGTCTCTGAATAAGAATTTCAATTTCCAATGTGGTTATCACACAATACTAAAAGACTGATTTTCATTCATTAGGCCAGTGTGAAACTAAGAAAGAGAGATGTGGCTAAGGAGGCGTGCGCGCAAACTGTGCACACTAAGAGAAGAGGAGAGATGTTCGCAATTGCTTCCACAAGAAAGCCACCTCCTCTCTAAAAGGACGCATCACTTACTATCCTAAATTTTAAATATCTTTCTGAATTGGTCAAGTGGCAGATAAATTGAAACTAACAAATATTTAGAAATCAATCTCAAGCATACAAAAACAGCAGCAATAGGGTTGTTTATTCTCTCAATTGCCTCCAAACCTTCCCTTGTAGTGTGAAGTTTTGTATGATCAGGATCAGTTTCTACAATAGGAAACCTGCAAGATAAAATAAAAAGGGTAAACAAGCATCAATGATCGCAAGGCTGCAAATCTCCACGGTGGCATAATGATACATGACAAATCATAAGAGTAGAGAAGCATCCAATGGTTAATGCCCTGATTCTTACAAGGCGAGATACTGCTGTCTACTTGCTATACACTCAAAACAATCTAAAAATGGAATACATATTTTACAAGTTGCGACATATGTAAAGCTATAGGTAAACAATTTAACGTGGTATTAATGGAATCCTGCTAAAAATAAAAAATAAAAAAATCAACTGGGTGCATTAAACCATAAATATCCATTCATATTAAAAAGGTTAATACAGTACAAAAATGTAATCACCATTGTCTCGTATCATCCATAGCATAAATATCTCATCAAAGTTTGAAGTAGTCCAGTTCTAAGAGTAAAGCTAAATCCTAAATAAATGGAACTCATCACCACTTACCAATTACCAATATTGCTTAACTAAACAAATCAAAATCACAAATCTAACAGAGAAGCAGCAATAAATACTCTACTCTTATACAACTTCTAACAACACCACACAATGCATCATCAAGATCGTCACGAAACATAATGAACCCAAGTCAAGGATTTCAAAGCAAACCCAATTGATTCTAAAGCGACATGAACGCATACATGAATTGAAATTCAAAACGCGCGCACACTTCTACATTTACTTATGTATCAAGAAATCGCTTACCCTTTACGAGAAACATCAAATGAGAACGACCCACATGTGAATAAGCAGAGAAAGAACGAAAAGACCACGACCCAACAAGTTATCTTCATTGTGATCGCTGCAGAAGGCGTTATCTTACAAATAGAGAGCAGAAAACAACGAAATCGAGAGGTTTTGAAGACATGGGGCAATAGAGGAAAGGATGTCAAGAACTTGGAAGCCATGGCCGAGGGTGCAGGTCAAGAATCGTGGACCACTTGGATTGAAGAGAAAGAGAAGGGTGATCATTGGTTATTCCATAAACACGCCCATAATCTTATGAAGTTATGACTAATAGAGAATGTAAAATATTATAATTTCACATTAAGTGATTAAAAAATATAACACTACGTTTGGAACCTATGAAAGAAAAGAAAAGAAAAGAAAAGATTACTTAAGTAATAAGAGAAAAAAAAAATAATAATTGTAATTTCTCTTCTTTTTGTTTGGATAAAAAAGAAATAAAAGAAAAGAAATGATTGCGATTTCTCTCATTTTTGTTTGATTAGATTTCATTAAAAGAAAATAAAAGAAATTATTTTATGTTATATTACCAAAATAATCTTTTTATATTTTCAATCATTTTATTTCTTTTATTTTTATAGGGACAAAATTGGTATTATGAAAATAGTGGTTTCTTTTCTCTCCCAATCTCTTCACTTTTGCGAAAATTGAAAATGAGGCTTATCAGAGAAATGAATTTCTCTCCATTTCTCTCAATTTTTTCTCATTTTTCTCTACTTAGGTTATCTAAACAAATAAGAGAAATACATATCACTCAATTTCTTTTCTTTTCTCTCCAAATCACTCAATCCAAATATAGAGTAAAAGAATATGTGATTTTGTTTTACATTAAGATGGTAAATGATGATTGGTAAAAAAATATGACGTGTGTTACTCGAGAACTATTTAATACTTTTTTGAGATGGAGAGAGATCAAAAATGGAATGAGACAGTAGGGAGGCGGGAGCAATATCGTTTTGTTGTAGTTGGAAGATTACACAATTTTGAGTAGGACTGTGCAACATACCGCCCAATCCGCTAAAACTGCACCGATCCGCATCAATCCGCATCGCTCTAACCGCTAACCACGGTTTAGACTTTAAAATTTCTAATCCGTTAACCGAACCGCTCCGCTCCGCTATAGTTAATACATATATATTTTTTAATTTCTAATGAAATATCAATGCAAAAAAAGAGTGTGAGAGAGATTTAAGATATGAAATTTATTACAAATTAGTGGTTATATATATAGAACATATTATGTAAAATTACTTTGTGTTATATATCTAAAAAATATTATACAAATTAGTGTTATATATTATGCAAATGTATGATAATTAGTTAGAATATTCTTCAATCTACTAATCTGCTAAAAATCGCCCAAACCGCAATTTTTCAATCCGCTAACCCGCCATTCGATTTGCAATTTTCCTCTCAAACCGCCCAAATCGCACCGCGCACACCCCTAATTTTGAGACCCAACTACTAGGGCTAGGGGCATTATTGTCAATTCATATGATAAATTCATAAATTTTGTGAGAGGGTATGAGCGTTACAGAGCCTCTATTTGTACACCACAAAAACTCTCATCCCAAACCAATTTTTAATTTTTTTAATTACGAATTTGCCATTCAAGAAAATTATCAAAGAGGACAAATATTCATCCATTCAAACCCTAGTAGGTGCCTGCGTCGACTATGCCATCTCCAACCCTTGCAACACCTCCCTAATGCAGTCCTTACCTCTCGCCACAGCCAACCTCTAACCACCGCCGCAACCCCCTTCTCTAGCCACTGATGACTCCAAACAACCTTACTCTCTCTTCGCCACTGCTAACAGCCTCGCCTCCACCCTAGCCGTCGCAGTCAACCCCGTCGCCCAGATCCGCCATCACGATCAATTTCTACCTCCATCTCAAGCCTTTATCCATCATAGAGAGAGACAAAGACAGATCGCGAGAGGGCCAGAGAGATCACGATTGAGAGGTGGCAGTGGTGGTAGTAGACACTAGGGTTTTGAGATGAGGAGATGGGAGTTGGGGAGGGAGGGTTCTGCGACTAAATGGGAGGAGCGGCGACGAAAGGATGAGTCGATGACGAAAGGGCTGCAACGCAAAGGAAAGGAGGCTGCGAAAGAAGAAGTGGCGGGGGAAAGGGGGAAGGGGAGAGCGGTTAGGGAAATGATGGCGACAGGAGAAGGGGGTAATTGACGCTGGTTAGAGTTAAGGTTAGAACTTCGGTGTCGGAACAGGCAATGGAAGCGGCGGCAGTGACAATGATTTGGGGTAAGGGTTGATGAGGGTATTTTAGGAATTTGGTGGTGTGAATTGAGAGAAAAATATTTTAAAAAAATGTGTGTGGTGTGAACTAAGTAATGGTGTGGGATAAGAGTTTTGGTGGTGTGCAAATAGAGGCTCCCAAGTGTTACACATGATGTGTTCAATGGCTACTGGTGAGACTCCTCCAAAAGCTGAACTAATGATTAGCTAGATTGACCAAAAAAACTACCTTCTTTCAAATTTTACTACCGAAAACTCGGCCAACTCGCCAAATTCACTTTGATATTTTTAAAATTTAGAGAAAATATTTAATTTTTGAGTTAGACTTTGGATAAATATTTTGATCCATCTAGTCATTTATAAAATATTCATTTTAATTTTTAACTATAAAATAAATTTTAAAAAATAATAATAAATAAATAATATATTAATATATATTTCTTTTTAGAACTTAAATTAAAATACTTTTTAAAATATTATATTTATTTATTTCGCAATTTAATTTTATTAATGTTTAAATTCAAATAATTATCAAAAAGGTCTAAATAATTTAATAGTATTTCAATTTAAATTCAAATAATTATCAAAAAGGTCTAAATAATTTAATAGTATTTGAAGATGAAAATAAAATAAAATTAATAGCTCATATCTATTGGGTTAAATGATTGAGCATAGGATTTAGACATTCCTTTAAAGTCGGACTTGAAATAACTAGGTTAGGTCCTATGACAAGTTGGATCGTGTTCGTAATGACATATATATACTTTTATTTTATAGTGCCAGTCGGCCCAACTGGTCTTTGTCTACCCTTACCAAAAACCTAACGCAACCGATAGTCACTGTACGGGGAGCAAATATTTCAGCAAGCCCGTACTCCTTTCTTCCAAGCTCCGTTTCTGTTCGATCACCTGAGAGCACAGTGAGGGTGAGCTACCCGGCAGTGTGTGGCCGGAAAACCCCTCCGATGATCAAATTAGACACACATAGGGATAGAGAGAGAGAGTGTTTGAGTGTAGGAGTTCCTTACAAAGTGTTCGTCTCACCAAATGTTCATCTGTCCACGTATGGAGGGCGCAGTCATGCTTATATACCTTCTGCGCCCCAAATCTACTCCCAGTGATCTCTCAACACGTGGCACTGCTATCCCATTTGTCAGCATAAACCTTGCTGAGCACCACCTAACCCAACTGCCTGCCCATGCTCCTGGGAGCTCGGCAGCCGGGCAGTATCATCTCGGCCATCGTCTGCCATGCTGCGCTTCATGCCCAAGTACTCCAACAGCTAAGCTCAGATGAGGACCGGACTCGGCGACATCTCGGCAAAGCCGAGCTCGGGACTACTCACACTTGTCTGCGGTCGACCTACCTGCCGAGCAAACAGGTGCCTCGGTCTAACCTTGCCTTTCTTGGCGATGGACTTTTTACCTGACCGGCTTCGCAAGCACGGATCCTTGTAGCTCGGTCAATCCATGCGCTGCCTTAACCGAGCAGCTTCCTCCAAGGCCGGGCAATACAGCTCGGCCCAAAACCCGTTCGGCCCAAATCTGCACGGCGCAACTCAGTCTGACCCAAATCTGTTCGGCCCTTACCATGGCCCAATCCAGATCATAAATCTCCCTCTCAATTGCCCCTTAATTCCGTCCGCGAAAGCGTGACTGGGATTACTCACTTCGACCGGGATAACATTTCTTCGGTCTTCAGAATGCTAAATGGTGATCGGGTTAGTGAACATTACTGTCTGCAAACTTGCCCGGTTATACTCCTCGGCTGACGTCCTCTTCTTTGAAAGTAGCCCGGTTGGCTCCTCAACTTTTCAACCTGTCTCTTCAGTTCTGACGTCGCCATAAATGGGGACACGTGGCGGGCTGCCATTGGTTCTCGAGCAGCCAACCTGCCGTTTTGCCAGAATTTGAATTTGGGCGGTCTCGTTTCCTCTATAAACATCCCCCCCTCATCTTCCTTGAGGATCTCATTGACTCACTACCATTCCAAGTAACCCAAAGCTCTTGCATTTCCTTTGCCATTCCCGAACTCGCGCTCGAAGAAGAAGCAGCCACTGCTCCATATTGGTAAGCTCTCCAACCCTTGTTATTTGTTATTTTCATTGATACTTCAGACAATAGGGCAGTAGAACGTAGTTCTTAGGACATAGGACATAGAAGTCAACCCAAACCTCCCACTACTCATGGTGTTCTTCATTTTTGCTGATGAACTTCGAAGAATTGAGGCGGTCCGGGCTCCAGGACTTCGTTTGATCCAAAAAACAACCCCGACCGAGCTAATAAAACGTTTGCCCCAACCTTAGTGAAAACCGGGGTAGGCAAAGGGTTTGGTCGATCGACCGGGCTAATATCTGGTCCGGTTTAAGGCCGGGCTCCTTGGCTATCCTTCAAAACCGAGGTGGTTTGGCACAATCTATGACCGAGCTAAAGTCAAGCTCATTCCGCGCGACCGCGCTTCCTCTTACACTTGACAACCTTTTCCTGCAGAGTCCAAGTGGACCCCTGACCACTTCCGAGGCTCTCAAAGACCGAGCAGCCAACAGTTCACAAGTCAGTGCCAAACCTCCTCAACCGAGAAAATTTGGCCGGTCCTACATGGGGAAATTTCGATTTCTCGTAGATACTCCAGTTGCAATGGCTGCGTTCAGGGAGGAGTACGGCATCCCGGCCGATGTCCACCTTGAACTTGCAGAAATTGAAACAACGCCTTGGGGCAGGGAGGAATGCCCCTTCACCGTGCTATCCATCGTCGAAGGGGGCCTTCGTTTCCCACTTAGCCCATTGATCACCGAGTTCCTCCGCCGCACCGGGCTTGCATCCACTCAAGTGTCCACCAACACCTACCGAATAATAAACGGTGTGCACGAACTTAACAACCGGTTAGGCACAAACTTAGGCTTAGTCGAGATATTGCGTCAATATACTCTCGGTCACACCGGCGATGGTCTCGCTTACTATCTTTA